TGAAGTGAGTTGTGAATAAGGTTCGGCTGAGTTGACGATTCCTTTGAAAAAGGCGAAACAGCGGTGCTAGATGTCTAGTCATCGGCTCTTGAGATCCGAATCCTATGGGAACCGATGATAACACACCTAGCATCACTTTGGCCTCTTCAACGCACTCCATGTGCTCGGAACTGATGTTTACCATTCTTTCTGTCGGCCGTCTCGTATCAGATAATACAAAAGATAAGAGGATCCATCATGAGGTCGTCCAAAGTTTCGAAGCAGTTTTTTGCAGTCTTTATTGTGCTTTATCATGAGCACATGCTCACGCGTGAAATCTGATGACGGCTATATTAATTGACGATCACATTGCTCAGTTATATTGTGGATTCTCATTTAAGCTCCAGGAGTTTAAGCATTGTTGGAGTATCTTTGGAGTATTTAGTGTCGCAAATATCGTGGTCTAGAACCACGCCATACCGTAGAGTTCCATTAACGAGACATATGAAGATTTTGTATGCATAAATGTTGTGAAGAATGGTGCAGGATCAAACTTTGCACAATTTCATTCCGGGTAGAACGTAAGCTATTTTAGCAATTTCCATCGGTTTTGTTTTTACTGGTTGTTTGCGCTCTTTGCTCTAGGCTGCTGAAAATACTCCCTCCTCTATCCCCTCCCTCCCCCACGGAAAACCTTGCAGCGACTATACCACGCTCATAACAAGTATGATGCTCTCCACAAAATTATCGCTTGATGCATTAGCATTCTTGGTTTTGGAGCAACTTGTCAAGTGGCATGCTAACTGACTACTTTTCAAAAATCTGTGACTTGTTCTCCCTACTTTACCTACCATGATTCTAGAATAAGGTCATAGCTTGATATGATTTTCGCGACATAGATAGCAGTAGACCGCTTTGCAGCGAATGTGTGGTCTAAAACTATCATCAAGGACAGTGCGACCAGGTCATAGGTTAGGCGCGAGAGATGTGCTCCGTCTCACGTGGTAGAAAGCGCAGAAAATCGTCTCAATACGTTGAGGGAACTACTGAAGATCTTGTCTATGCAAAATTTAGACATAATACGTCTTTAATTGATGTTCAGGGAGCTGTGCCCTGAATCTGCATCTGCCGCCCTTAAAAAAGTTGACGGCAAATACAAAATTGGAGAGGCGCCAAGCGAAGTTATGGAACTGGCTTTTCTCGCTGTAAGAGAGGAACTGGAACATGCAATACGTTTCGAAAAGTACAAGGAGCTCATAAAAACAAAAAGAAGTACATAGTTCCATGCTTTCATACGCTTGCATCGTTAATACTGTTGTCAACATACTTTTCTCATTCTCCATTGTCATTTCATTGCCTTTCAGTCCTCGCTTTACAAATGCCTGTATTCATTTCTCGTTTTATTGTACATGTTAATTATTTCTCATTCTGTTATCTCATATTATTTCGTATTTTAGCATTATTCGCGCTCCCAGTGTCCGACATCATGTGTATCATTTCATTGCTGATTCTTGTTTTGTATCAAATATTGTAGAAGTTTTGTCTGCTTTT